AAGTCAGCATGGCGACGTGGGTCGCTTCCCCGGCCGCCAACCACTGATCTTGCGCCGGCCGACCATATGTGTCCAGAAATTGCTCCGCCAAGAATCGTCGAGGTATGCGAGAGAAGGGGCGGGGCGCCTTTGGACCGCTGAAAGGCCGCCTTGGCTTCGCTGAGCGTATGGTAGACGTACGGGCTGAGGCTGAATCCGAACGGGAGGACGCACCAGCAGTAGTCGACGCCCTTGTAGGATAAGCCGAAGAGAGGCCATGACGATGGCCGCAGAAGAACATGATGAAACGCCGAGGAGTCGTCGAGTGACGTCATGTAGCAATCCCGACGACGCGACGCTAGCCACGCGCGCTACCGTGTCCACGGCGAAAGGTATTTTCCGTGTGCAGCTATTGAGCGGTCGAGCGTCATAGATGAGACGCGGTTTGGACGTCTCCACCGACAAAGCCATGATCATGCGAGGACGCACCGGACCGGTGGAGCTCTTGACATCAGCCCACCGTGAAATGCAACCTCTGGCGAGCAGGGATTGCATTTCCGCGTCGACAAAGCTGTCAAATTTCGGCGGCCAACGGTGGTTGGTTGGAGAAAATACGCTGCGGGAAATGATCAACATTGTAGGGGAGAGACGGCGACTCGCCTCTGAATTTGGGAAGCAGGAGGTCATACAGGTCTACGCCATCCCGGATGTACGAAGTCAACGTATCACGTAAGGGATGATCACGGAGGATGTAGTCCTCCCAGAATCCAGCATGAGCTCGCACGAAGCCTGGCGCGAAACCTTTGGAATCCCACACGGGAGCCTGCCATGGCAAGCGGCGCAATTCGCCTTCCATCGGGTCCCGCGTGACCTCGTCCAAAGTAGGGAACCCGCGAGAGGCCGTGGGAAAGGCGCCCACTTGCGCCCACTCGGACTCTTCTGGCGGCAAGAGGGGGGCCGGGGGCATGATCCACTCCACATTTTTGTGGCGGAGGTCAAGCGCCCGCAGCCAATCCTCTGCTGCAACCTACCCGCGAGTCAAGTGTAAAGAGCAGTTCGGAGTGGGGCGACAAAGACAATGATTTCGAATTTCGAACCAACCCGGAAAGTGTTTATCGAGAGCATTGGACATGCGATAAGACAAAAGGGGCGGTGGTGTCCCCCCCCCCCCCCCCCCCCCCCCCCCNTTCGCGGCCCAATTTGTATAGCCGCGTTTGAAATTACGTTACGAAGCAAACGTCGATTCGATGCTGTGTATCCAGGCGTACCGTCGAGAAAACATGACAGCGCACGGACCAACTAACACAACGTCTCGCCGGGCTTATCCAAGTGTAAGTCTACCTACTCACAGACGGGATTGCTAGCTACGGCGAACTTGTATTGGTGTTAGTTGGGCGTGCACCACGAGGTACGTCAGCACGCGAGAGGCACAGGAACTAAGTCGGCCAGTGACCATGTGGTACTTCCTAATACAACCCAAACCCTCACTACTTATAATTAGGTGGGTGTGTGATGTGCGCGTTGGGCACGCAACCCCCAAGGGAAAATGCACCAACGAACGGGATGTGTTTGTATGGTGTGCACGTGGGCCACGCAATCCCAAAGGAAAAGGGTACCGCCGAATGTCCATATGTAGCATATGCATGAGGCACAAGGTACATAGAATTCAAGACAGCCAGTGACGGACTCTCAAACATTCCCTAGTTTGGAGGGATACCGATCACGGTGCTGCATGCGATGCGGGTGAGGTGAGGTGTTGTGTATATTATTATGCGAACAACACCAGGTACGAGGCAAGAATACGGAACCCAAAGAACGTAAGGGCATCAGGCAGTAGGTAAGAAGAGAGGTCCCGAAGAGACGAAACACCCACCGGCAAGCCAATGGAACTTTGTGTCCACCAAAGGCAGACCCCAGCCGTATTTTGGTAAGAGCAACGCTAAAACGAACGACAAACTTAGGATACTCATCATTAGGGAAACGAAGGTAGCAAGCCAGGTGTCGACAAAGGATCATAGGGACCCAGAAGGAAGACGACAAAGTCTGAGGGAACCCTGCAACAAGCGAACAAACGGCACCCGGCCCCCTCACTCACTGCACACGCCTACTCGGGACGGGAAGACGAAAGGCAGAGTCCACGCAACTTAATAAGGGCAACCATTGGACCGGTGTCCGGCACGCCGACATTTGGAGCATATGGCGAACGCACAAGTCTTGTGATTGTGGTTGGCGTTCCTGCCCGCGGCCTTGCATTTTTCGCAAGTAGGGCCGCCCGCCACGGGCTGGAGGTGCTGCTGGGCGTCCTGGAGAGCGCCGTTAAACACGTCGATCTTGGACAGACCACGGTTACTCGGAAGCGATGTCCGCGCGCCGCCGCTCCCCCGTGATCCCGCTGCCTTGGTCTTGGACTTCCTGGCGGCGCCGCCGCTGAGAGGAAGGGTGAC